CTGGTGGATGTAGACTACAGGCTAATCAGCTGGTCTCTCAGCCTCCCTAATATCTTTCTTTTTGATGATTGCTACCTCTTTCGAAAGGCGTGCCTCCCCAGCATTCATTTTCCAGCATAGATCCCTTTAGGAAGTGAGTCAGAGCAGGCCAACCTTGGGATCACTTGGCTGTCTGAGGATTTCAGGATTGTTTGAGAATTGGGGTAAAAAGAAAACAGGGGAATGAATTTGAATGTGAGAAATGCCTGTGGTACAATCCTCCTTGCTGGGAGGCTGGCTGCATTGTGGAGTAGTTGAAAGCTTAGTCTTCCGGGTCAGACTGCTTGGATTCGAAACTTGCCCCTGCCCTTTAATCTCTGGGAACCGTGGTCAAGTTACTTGATCTCTCTGAACCTCAGTTTCTTTATCTGTAAAATAGGGATAATAACCTCTAAAATAGTTGCAAGGATTAAATGACTTTGTTGTGGTATCTGGCTCATAATAAGCACTCAGTAAATATTAGCAATTAGGTTTTTTTACCCCCCTTTCCATTCTGTGTCTCTCCAGTCTTCTCCTCTTCTCCTTTTGTTCTTTTTTCTGAATCTTCAGTTCTGAGATGTTCCCCATGTGTGATCGCTGAGAAGTGATTGTTTGGGGGTGGGGAGGACTCCTTCAGCTGGCCCAGGTGAACACATGATGATCAGATGATTGATTATCTCTTCATGGTCTGTCCCTATCCACAAATGTGTTTTTGTTCCAGGGAAGACACATGATCTGTTTCTCTTTCAGCCCCCTTTCCTGTATCAGTTTCTCACACAAATTACTTCTTCAGAGTCTCACCCAGAAGTGTAATAAGACTCAAAGTTATATAGGCACTGCATCAAGTGAGATAGGGGCAGGGGTGTTTCAGGAAAGAAAGTATACAGGTTGCACAGAGGAGACTCAAGGAAAGGAGGGCTTTGTATGTTTCACAGTAATTTATGTTCATACCATTGCTCTGTCCTCTGTGGAAACTGTCCAAAACAGGCTAGTGTCTGAATCCTGGCCACGGGTCTCCGTTCCAAGTTAAAGATGGTCATATAGAGTTAGTTTTTTTAAATTGTTTAGGTTTTCCCATGCTAATATTTGATTCTAGTTCACTTTCCCCAGACACACAGACCTCTGCCAAACTGCCTCTCTCTCCATCACAGTCAGCTTTTATCCAAAGAGTTTATACAAATGTACCTAGGTACATACACACACATTTGTCTGTTTTAGGATATTTCAGTATGCAAAAATAAGGTTAGGGATGAGTCTGCATTTTGTCACAAGACTTTGTATACAGGGCCCTGTCTTGACATTCAGAAGAGACTTAAAAGGAGAAAACTCAATCCCTAAACATGGGGAAACCCCCACCTGAGTAGCAAGACATGCAGTCCCATGTGAAACACCCAGCAAACATCCATAGAGTAGTGTGTCACTCTGTGCAAAGTAGTGCAGTATTTATCCTGAGGGGACTGAGGTAGGAGGGTATGTGTGTGGAAGATAATCTTAAAGGACCTGAAGGAGGTGAATATCGGATCATCTTGGACAAAATAAGAGACAAAGCAGAATAAAAGAAACACATGGAGTAATCTAATACTTTCTGTGCAAAGAGGAGGAGGGAAGCCATGAATCAGGGTGAGCCAGAAGAATGTGGGGTGGGTCTTGTTTAAAGGGTTTGAATGTCCGATGGGAGATTCTGTAGGGTGGGCAATGGGGAGCCACCACTGGTCTCCAAGCAAGAAAATGTTGGACTTCCTGGTTTAACCATGTGGGTCACAGAGAATATGCTAAAGTGAAAAAAACAGACCTGCTTCTTGTTAGGATTGTGTTTTTCAGGGCAGATTGGATCCAGCCCTGGGACCCATTATTCCACCTTTTTTCATCTGAGAAAGCATGCCTAGGGTAGTTGCCAGAGTCTCCTCCAGCTCTGACATTCTGTGTTCCCTAAATAACTGCTAGACCTTACCGATGGCTTTGTTTTGTGGATCTGCCTAGATCATTCAGTCATTAAGTTAAGAAATGTATGTACTGTGAGCCAGTGGGGGTGGTGAAGAAATTACAATGGGCACAGGGTTCTGGGATGAGCAAAAACAAAGGCCTTGCCCCTTAAAGTTTCTAGCCTAGGCTCGAAACTGGAGGTGTCAGATATTTCATTGATTCTAAGACTCACATCTTAACATTTCTGAAGTCAAGATGCATCTTAAGATCAGTGGTGAAAGTTAGTTGCTCAGTCATGCCCAACTCTGCGACCCCATGGACTGTAGCCTACCAAGCTCCTCTGTCTCTGGGATTCTCCAGGCAAGAATACTGGAGTGGATTGCCATGCCCTTCTCCAGGGGATCTTCCCAACCCAGGGATCGAACCTGGGTTTCCCGCATTACAGGCAGATTCTTTACCATCTGAGCCTCCAGGGAAGCCCAAAATCAGTGGAGTATCGTAATTTGGCAGCATTTGTTTTTACACGTAAATAATACAATCAGAATTGTACAAATAACTAAAATTCCAGTGACTAATTGCTGAAGGGGAAGGTACATGGTGTATGAGTGTGTAAAAGAGGGGTCTGAGGAGTCCACTGGGTTGGAGAAAGCCTTTCCTGAAGAAATGATGATGACCAAATATAAAGGTAATGGAGGTGGGGTGTGTGGGGTTGGAGGGAGGATTGCCCTAGGCAGAGGTAGATGTCTTAGTTGGGAGGACTGCAAGAAGGAGCTCAGCATGGGTGAAGAAGGCAAGGCAGTTGGGGAGCAAACCTGCCACAGCCTCCCAGGCCCTAGACACGGGTTTTGGTACAGTGGGAAGCCATTAAAGAGTTTTAAGCAGAAGAGTAATGTAGCCTGCGGTTGGAGTGGATGTGGGGAGACCAGTCAGGAGGCCACTGAAGTAGGTCAGATTTTTTTTTTTTTTTAAGTTGTAGGGTTGGAGGAGGAAACAGAAATAAATGGATTCAGGAAATCTTTAGGAGGTAAAATTAACTGGACTCATTGATGTATTCACCAGAAAGAGGGAGGTGTGGTGAGTGGCTCACAAATTTCTATCTTGGACAACTGTGTGGATGGTGGCTTAGTCTCTGAGATGGGTGATTGCAGAGCCTGGTAGGACCCAGAGATGGTTGTGTAGCCTCTGGGAGGTTAGGACCCTGAGGCAGGTTGGGTGAGAAAGTATGGCACAGAGGACTGGATTTCATCCTAAGTTGGTTTCTGACTTCTCGTGCAAAAGGAGGTTTCAGGGGGCGGAGCAGGTCTGAATACAGGGCTTAGAGTAGCTGAACCCCAAGGAAAGGTAATTCAAGTTGGAGTAGCTTGACTTACACCCTCTCTCAGGACAAGATAAGTAGAGGGAAGGAAAGACAGCTGTTGCTGAAGTAGAGAGTAGAAGCATTGTTAAATACCGAGTCTTCCCACCATAGGGATAATTGGGAAAGTTGGGAAATTGGGCAGCAGTGAGCCAGCTCACTTTACCTGGACTTTACCTGGAAGTCCCCCTCACCACCACACTCCCAGCACCTTCCAAGCAAGGAGGAGGAAGGATAGAGCCTTTTAGCTGCATTTCAGTGCCCCAGTTTACTTAAAACCTGTTTTTGAATGGGTGAATATAGTCATATGCAAAGTTGCAGAGGGCACACAGAGTTCTTTCTGCCTGTGTCCTCATTCTCATTTCTTGTGTTATCTTTTGTTTCTGATTTTATGCAAGTAATAAAACTTTGCTGCACTCTGCTTTTTTTCCCACTTGTTTATGTATCTTCCAAGTTACTATCAAGGCAGCCTCTTCATTCTTTGTATGACTGCATAGTAGTTCATCTTATGTTTGTGTAAAATTTTATAGTTCCTTAGGAATATTTAGGCTGATTACAGTCTTCTGGTTTTATAAATAATGCTGCTCTGAAAATCTTGAACACACATGTAGGGCTATATCTATAGGATGAATTTTTAGAGCCATAAGATTCTATATAAATAGGATTTGTTCCTTCATCTGTTTATTCATTCACTTTATATTTGTTGAGTACCTATTATGTGCCAGACGCTGTGGCAGGTACCAGGAATTCAGCTTTCAACAACTCAGATATGATCTCTGCCCCCATGGAATATGAGTAATATGTGTAAGGGGAAGCACATATTCAATCTAACATAATAATTACAAAATTGTATAGTGAGGAAACTAAAAAGAGGATCAGAACAAATTGGACGTGCTTTAAATAGAGTCAGGAAGGCTTCTTAGAGCAAGTGATATTTAAGCTGAGAACTAAAGGATGAGATGTGGCTAGCCATTGGGTGTAGGACAGGGAGACCTAGGCTGTTCAAAGCCTCCTCTACTGGGATGAATCTGTAGGAGAGGCACAGGCTGCTATCTCTGTGGGGGCTGGGATGCAGAGCTAAACAGAAGGAGGGAATGGGAATGGAGGTGTCAAGGAGAGTGAGTGACTAAAGATGAGGCCAGTTAGGGGAGGGGGCTGGTAGTAGTACTTAGGAAGGACTAATGATTGTGTTTAGAGGGCTTTGGGTTGAGTCTCTATACTGGGTGAATTCAGGAAGGCGAACAGGAAAAGAGGCCACTTCCTCCCTGAATGGGAATGAGAGATCTCTGACTGATTTGAGGGAAGTACAACCTTGCCCACAGGCGGGAGTGTGGAGGAAAAGCCTTGGAAAGAGTTGATCTGTGCCTGTAGTAGAACCTCCTCCATCTTTTCTTGGCTTGGGCAAAATGGAAACTTCCAAACTACAGATGACTTTGATGGGGCTCAGCCAGCTGACTCTGGACTGGCAAAAGAAAGAACAGGTCTATCGAGGGCTCAGAGTGGGGATGGGCAGGAAACTGGGCTTTGAGTCTCTTCCTCTGAACTTGGTGCTCCTTTTTCATCCTCACCGCTCTGCTTCTCTTCTACAAAAGCCCATCTCTTTGCCCATCCGGGGTTCTATGACTTTTCTCTCCCTCAACAGTCGGTTCCCGAGTCTGGTCCCCGGCCCCCAGCAGCGCCTGCCCCCTTCCCACCGGGGCCCCCCATGATGCCACCACCCTTCGTAAGTTTTATGTCTTTCCCTGGGCTTGGCTTTTCCAGCCTGCACCCCCAACTTCCTAGTCCCCAGCACTGCTGCATCGCCAGCACAGTTTTTGTGTCATGCCCCCTTCTGTTGTCCTTGGATGAGGGATGGTTTTGCTTGGGTCCATAAAGTTGACAGTTCTCCCTTTGTCTTTTTGTCCTTGGGACACACGGGGCTGGGGGAAGAAGTGAATTCGAAAAGCCCCTCTTAAGTGTGAGGGCACAGTGGGGCTGTCTTTCTCTTTCACTGCTCCTTGTCTGTATTCTTTTTTGTTCCCCTCCAACATGGCTTGTGGGATCTCACTTCCCCAACCAGGGATTGAACCCACGCCCTTGGCAGTGAAAGCTTGGAGTCCTAACCACTGGACTGCCAGGAAACACCCCTTGTCTATATTTTTTAAACATGCCATGAAGTCAGGCTGGAATAGCAACTGGTGGTCATCAAGTTGGGGAAAAAAGGGATAGGAGGCAGAGGACTGGGAGATTGGGGACTGGACACCTGCCTCTGGCCCTGCATCTGAAAGGCCTCTTTGGAGAGAGTCGCTTAAGTGGTGGAGCCTTCTGGTCGCAGTCTGGTGGCAGTTCCATTTCTTTTTCCCCTCTCTTCTGCCTCTCAAGAAGCTGTGTGCTTGCCTCTTAGACCCAGAGGACCCCTGTTATCAGTCTCAGTGGTGAGGAGGGAGGCAGTTTCATGCCTCTCAGACTGAAACTTTGGAACTGTCTCAGAGCCAGGGTGGAGGGTTGGGTGGGAGATGAGTGGCTGTTTCCTGACAGGGGCAGAGCAGTGTCTCCTCTGCTCAGGCTCTCTTCCTTTCCTCATTTCCAGATGCCGCCTCCAGGAATCCCCCCACCTTTTCCTCCAATGGGGCTTCCTCCCATGAGTCAGAGACCACCGGCCATCCCCCCCATGCCACCTGGCATCATGCCCCCAATGCTCCCACCAATGGGGGCACCACCACCGCTCACACAGGTAATCTCCCCTGCACCAGGGCCTCAGAAAATCCTGTCATTTCAATTGCAGGTAGAGATGAAGGTGGATATATGAACTTAACTTGAGAATCTGGGGAGGGAGGGAAGGAAGAAAAATAGGTCCAGGCCCACATGAATTTGTCTGCTGAGTGGCTAGAGACCACTCTGAGGCTCAGCTGAGCGCCCAGAGCCCATTGAGTGCCCTTGTGAGGGTCATGGCCCCGACAGGATCTCTCAGGACTGTGTACGGCCTGTGCTAGCCTTCACCTCAGTAGCTGGTTTTTATGTCCTTTGTATCCATAGATACCAGGAATGGTACCTCCCATGATGCCAGGAATGCTGATGCCAGCAGTGCCCGTCACCGCAGCGGTAAGCACCGGGGGGCAGGAAGTGGGCTCTGCACTGCAGCCCCGTGGGTCTGACTTGGTGTACGGGACGCAGCCTCCGTTCTTTCCCTCTTCTCATCACATCCACCCTTGGCCCCACTGCACTCCCCACACTGAGTCCTCCTTCCAGCCATGAACTCAGCTCTTCTAGTTTTTCACTCGTCCCCAAAGGCACATACATCCTCTCATTATCCCCCTGCCGTGCCCAGTTCCCTCAAGGAACAGCTTCACTCCAGACACTGATCACTCTCACAGAGTTAGCACTGTGGACACACGAGTACAATTTCTTCTTCGCATCTTCTTTGTCTCTGAAAGAAGCGGCAATACCTGGAGATCTCGCTATACCTTCTTGTGCTGCTGCTCAGTGTAGTAGAGTTGGGTAGGATGTGGCGTTTGGTACTTTCTGTGGAAGAGGTGGGCCATGGAGTCTCACTCAACAGAATACTCTCACTTGAAAATGAAAAGAAGGAGCTGCCGTGCAGTTTCTTCCTGGGGTCCTAGAGTCATGGTCCCGGAGGGCGGGGGAAGCTTGTTAGGGAACAGAGATCCCTGGGAGCAGGACACATGGATCCTGGCCTGGCCTGCTTCTTCATCCCCCATGGCCTGGGTCTTGGGGGCCACTGGGCTTGGCCCCAACCCTTCCCCCTCCTCTTTCTTCGGCAGACGGCTCCGGGTGCGGACACCGCCAGCTGTGAGTCTTCTGGGGGTCTGCTCCCCCCAGGCTCGGAGGTTGGGGGGGAGAGGGGACCATGGACTAGAGCCCACCCTGGATCATGCCTGTTGGGGTGCCAGGGATCCTGGGATGTGATGGGACCAGGGGAGATTTACTGGGGATGGAGTGTAAGGGAGGAATAGATGGGGATCAGATAAGGATTGGAACAAGGAATTAATATGTTTCCTTTGGCTTCTTTTCTAGCTGCTGTGGCTGGGACAGGCCCTCCGGTAAGTTCTTTCCACTCAGGGGTCTCTGGGTAGAAAGGCTGAAAGGGAGGTGCTAATGGTTAAATTTTGGGGATGAGGAGAAGCTTTGGGAAAGGAGCCTTGACCACCATTCTGTGCACCCTCCCCTCCCCTAGAGGGCACTGTGGAGTGAGCATGTGGCCCCTGATGGGCGCATCTACTACTACAATGCTGACGACAAGCAGTCCGTGTGGGAGAAGCCCAGCGTGCTCAAGTCCAAGGCAGAGGTCCTGAGTGGGGCTTTCTAGCCCTTTTTTTCAGCTGCCCTGACCCTTCCAAGTCCTTGGCCTTCCCTGAATCTCTAACCATACTCATGGTTCTTCTAATCCTAAGATCCCTGACCATTCCCCGACCTTCCTAGGATCTCAAGAAGTCCACCTTCCCTCATCTTGAGCCAGGCCAGGTGGTAGCTAAACACTCCTGTGTGCCCCCCTCACTGGATCCCCTCACTTAGCTCCCCCAACTGTGGCTGGCAGGTATGCCCAGCCCACTGACGTTCCCTGGCCCATCCTCTTACAGCTCCTGCTGTCCCAGTGTCCCTGGAAAGAGTACAAGTCGGACACAGGCAAACCTTACTACTACAACAATCAGAGTAAGGAGTCCCGCTGGACCCGGCCCAAGGACCTGGATGACTTGGAGGGTGAGGAGGGGGGTGGGCCCAAGCAGGGGCTCGGGGGCATGACTCTGTGCTACCCTCTAACCACGTTATCCTTTCCTGTTGCAGCTCTAGTCAAACAAGAGGCTGCAGGGTAAGTGACTTGCTTGTCTTGCCTACCTGTCCACCCATACGTGGGGCCTCCTGAGGGGTGGGAGTGGCCTCTCCGCATGATCCATGCTCTGTGAGAGGAAGAGCCAGCTTTCATCTTCCTGTGGAGTGGTCTACTCTGGCCCTAGTCCTTCACAGGCTAGAGGCCAGCCAGCCCCTGACCACCTCTGTCTTTGCACTACTCGACACTGCCCTTCCGACCCACCTGCAGGAAACAGCAGCAGCCACAGACACTACAGCCACAGCCTCCTCAGCCTCAGCCCGATCCCCCACCTGTGCCGTCTGGCCCCACCTTGCTGCCCACAGGCCTCCTAGAACCTGAGCCAGGTGGGAGTGAAGATTGCACTGTGTCAGAGGCTGCCCAGCCCCTGGAGCAGGGGTTCCTGCAGCAGCCAGAGGAGGGCCCCAGCAGGTGAGGGCTGCCCCCCATGGCATTCTAGACCTCAGGCTCCCAGCTGGGGTTCATCCCTTGACCTCTGCCAGGTTTCTCGGGAAAGGGGTGAAGATCTGGGCATGGCCTCTGATGAGCAGACAAGGGCTTCCCTGGGGAGCAAGGGCACTGAAAACTATAGGGACTGGGGGACACTATGCCTGAGTTCCCTTTGTCCCCCAGTTCTGCTGGACAGCATCAGCCACCACAGCAAGAGGAAGAAGAATCAAAACCGGAGCCGGAGAGGTCTGGTCTCAGTTGGAGTAACCGGGAGAAGGCAAAGCAGGCCTTCAAGGAGCTGCTGAGGGACAAGGTGCTGAGGGTGGGGCTCCCAGGGTAGCCCTGGAGGGGCTGGAGGTGGGCAGGGCATGACCCCCGCCTGCTCCATTCCAGGCTGTCCCCTCCAATGCTTCGTGGGAACAGGCCATGAAGATGGTGGTCACTGACCCCCGTTACAGGTAGGCCTGGGCAGGCCCTCCAGACATTGCTCATGAGGGTGGCTGATCCAGGGATTTCCTAAGAAACCCTGAGGGGGTCAGAGTGAGAAGAGTGATAGATAGGTGAGTGTGCTGGGGAAGAGAAGCTGAAGAACCTCCAGGAGAAGGAGGGGAAGGGAATCATTCAATAAATGCTTGTTGAATTGAATTGATTTGAATTGAATTAATTGGGGAAAGAGGGGCTGGATAGGGCAGAGGCCTGATTGCAACTTGAGAACCCATAGCAAAAGGGCTCAGTATTAATAGTGTCTTAAGAGCCCTGTCTTGTTCCCTCACTGTTAGTCACCCCTCCCCACATCCCAGAGACCAACCTGTCTTGCTCCCCTGTGCCCTTGGGGCCCCTGCAGCCTGCTGTGCCCATGCATGGACTCTGCAGTCAGTTCTGCGAAAGCCCTCCCCAGTGTGCCATGACTCTGCTTGGTGGGCCGTGCCTTGTGGTTCAGGCTGACTCCTCTATCCCCACCCAACTCCCGTCCTGTTCATCCTAGTGCCTTGCCCAAACTGAGTGAGAAAAAGCAGGCATTCAATGCCTACAAAGCACAGCGGGAGAAGGAGGAGAAGGAAGAGGCCCGGCTAAGAGCCAAGGAGGCCAAGCAGACCTTGCAGCATTTCCTGGAGCAGCATGAACGCATGACCTCCACCACCCGCTACCGGTCAGGGGGCCAGGCTGGGTTGGGGCCTGGGAACCCTGAGACCCCCATGGGCCCAGGCTCTGTTCTCTGCCTGCCTTCTCACAACCCATATGCTCCACAGGCGGGCAGAACAGACCTTTGGGGAGCTGGAGGTCTGGGCTGTGGTCCCTGAGAGGGATCGAAAAGAGGTTTATGATGATGTCCTCTTCTTCCTGGCCAAGAAGGAGAAGGTAACAACTACTGGGCTGGATCCATCAGCCCCAGTCTCATTAAGGCCTTCCATGTCTTGGCTTCCTTGTGGACCCGCCCATTCACTTGCTGCCCCAGGGCCCCAGCTTCTTACTCAGAAGCTGGTATGGCACATCCCCAGTTCATGCTCTGGGCCTACACCTTGGTGTGGGAGGACAGGAAGATCTCTGAGGGTGTGGTTTGTAACCTGTGCTCCTTCCCCTTTCTGGAGTCAGAAAGGCCTTGAGTCTGGCCATCCCAGAGTTCCCAAGCCACCTGCCTTTACCTAGGTTTCCTCTGCCCAGGCACACTTGTGTAGCTCTGGCCTTCCCTGCCTCACCCTGACCCCATGGCTCCCTAGGAACAGGCTAAGCAGCTGCGGCGCCGCAACATCCAGGCCCTGAAGAGCATCCTAGATGGGATGAGTAGTGTCAACTTCCAAACCACCTGGTCCCAGGCCCAGCAGTACCTCATGGATAATCCCAGCTTTGCTCAGGACCATCAGCTGCAGAGTAAGCCTGGGTCTCCACTCCCTTCTCTCCCTTCCCTTTTCCTCCCTGACCCCCAGCACCTGCCTCACACCGCTCCCCCTGCACCTCCTGCCCCTTTGAAACATCCAGGAGTCCCTTGCATTTAGTCCAGAACCTCTCTGGACTTGAGATCACAGGATGGATGCTTCAGGACACTTCTCCCTCTAGGGTCTATAGTTAACCTGGATATTGTGTATTCTTGGGAGAAGAGCACTGGGGTAGGAATAATATTTGAAGATGACTTTTATAGCTCATGTGAATATGGTTTTAAATCATCTTGGTTTGGTGGGCCGTAAATGGTCACACATGTGGCAATCAGCTGCTGTTGGCCTGTCATCACTTGCAGTATCTTCTGATATTCACCTTCTGAAGTTATATCAAAGCCTGGTTGATTCCCAGTCCAATAAAAAGTAAAACCTTAGATTCTGAGATAACTGATTTCATATGATGACTTCTAGTAACCAAATTTACAAGAACTGAGTACTTCATATAATCAGTGAACCCTTTTCATGAGCCATCATTCCAGTAGCCTCTGCCAGGAGCCCCTGCTCCCCTCTCCCCACCTCCCTGGGTGTCCCCGACACCTGCAGGAGTAGCATCTTGGAAGCTCTGGGGGTGCTGGGACCGAGAGGGTGTTCCCCTGGCGCGGTGCCTGCTGAGCCTCCTCTCTGCGGTTAGACATGGACAAGGAAGATGCGCTGATCTGCTTTGAGGAGCACATCCGAGCTTTGGAGAGGGAGGAGGAGGAGGAGCGAGAGCGAGCCCGACTTCGGGAGCGGCGCCAGCAGCGCAAGAACCGGGAGGCCTTCCAGGTATCTTTGCTGCCCTCTGGATCCGAGCTCAGCTCTGCCCCGGACAGTCTCCTCTTCACCCACACCCTGCCTCCTCTCAGCCAGGCCCACTCTTTGCCCAGCCCTGTCCTTGCTCCATGCGGCCTCTCTGTGCCTACAGTTTTGCTCCTCCTGTGTCCCCTCAACTCTGGGCCAGCTCCTTTAGACTAGGTGTGTGTGCCACCCAGAAACTGCCAGCAGATGGCACCCTAAATGCAAGGCTTGGCAGCTTGGCCAGGTTTATTTCCCTTCACTGGGGAGCCAGACAGGCATAGCTAGTTCATCCCCCATCTTGGAGGTGGCACTGGTGGTGGTGGTGGAGGGGTTTACTTGGCTGTAACACATTGGGAAATGTGGGAGTCATGGGAAGGTAATGCTGCAGGCATATTTTTGTGCCTTTGCTTCCCAGTCCGGTTTATTCTCATGTGAAATCTGTCCCTTTCTGTTTCACAGTCTCTGTTCACATTGCTCTCTGCCTCCCCATCTGTAACTCTTCATCTTTGCCTCCCTTGCCTGCATTTCCTCAATCTGGTCGTTCCTGCCTCTCCCTGCCATCTCTCCTCTTCCGCCCCAAGCTTTGACTTTGCTTCCCTCCCTCTCTCACTCTCCCTGTAACTGGCCTCTTCCCTGCTTAGACCTTCCTGGACGAGCTGCACGAGACAGGGCAGCTGCACTCCATGTCCACCTGGATGGAGCTGTACCCAGCGGTCAGCACTGACATCCGCTTTGCCAACATGCTGGGCCAGCCGGGTAAGGCAGCCGGGCTCTCCCTTCTCTGGCCTGGCTTCCTGCCCTGCCAGTTTCTCTGCACTCCCACTCCCTGGTCCTGTCCTCAACCCCACCCTCAGGCCTTGGGAAGCTGCCGCCCGCCAGGCCCCCCTCCCTCCCTCCCCCGCAGGCTCCACCCCTCTGGACTTGTTCAAGTTCTATGTGGAGGAGTTGAAGGCACGATTCCATGATGAGAAGAAGATCATAAAGGACATCCTTAAGGTGAGGGAGGCCTGGGGCTGTGGATGGATGCAGGCTGGGTACAAGGCTTGCTCCCAGAACAGGGCTCTCTGATAAATCCTGTTTTGTGGGAGCATTGCAACTGAGTTCAGGAGATAGCTATTGCGATCCTTTCTTTATACAGAAATGAACAAGATACAATTTCTGCCCAGAAGGATTTCAGGGTCTAATAGGAGGAGAGACATGACAATTAGATAGACATTACAGAGGGGCAAGGGTATTACAGGGATGAGAATCAGAATTGCCATTTGAACTGCACCTCTAAGAATGAGGAGGTGGGGAGGATGGAGGCCCTGGGTGTAGGGTGCCGCAGGAGCAAAGAGGAGCAGGAAGCACAACTAATCATAAACTAGTAGCCCACAAGTATTTTCCTTCTGCCTATACAGTGTTTTAGAAAAACTTGGAATTTGTTGCTAACATTTTAAAATCAAGAGATTACAATTAAAATCTGGACCTTCAGCATCTCTTGGAAATTTGGATTATCTAGCAGCACTAGGCTTGCTTTGTGAAGCATTCAGTGGGCTAAAGCAGAGAGATACCACGGCCTTTTAGAAGGGGCATACCTTCCTGATCTGTCCTCACTCCTCCCTGTCATGTCTGTAACATGAGAGCAAAGTCACCTACAGTTTACCATCTCCATGCTGGAGAGTTCCTCAATATTCATGTCTATCAAAGAGGGAAAATTGAGTGATGGACTGAGAGAGTCCTGTGTTTCAGGAAAAAGATAACAAAGTATTTCTTTGTGGAAGTGAAGACCCTTCTCATGAGTTTCTGGGAGTAGTGTGCACCTTGGTTAGGAGCAATACTGTGAAGGCAGACTGTGGGATTGAAAGTCCACCTTAACCACTTACAAGTTTTGTGACCTTGAGCAGGTTACTTAATCTTTCTGAGCATGTTTCCTCATCTGAAAAGTGGGGAATATTCCCCCAGACTTCACCTGATTGCCAGCAGGAGTAACTTGGTATCCGAGATGAAGAAGGTCTGAGAATAAAGCTAGGATTGTCTCACTGCACACACATTTCTTCTAAGTCCCGTGTTTTGCTTTAAAATTCATGCAGTGCTGTACTTTAATACCATAACACTTATCTGTTAATATAAACTTAATATTTTAAAATTACTTACCATTAGGTAATACGTATCGTATTGTCCTGTGGCTTCGTCTATTTCTCTATACCCCAGTTGGGAAGGAGAGCCTTGCATATAAAATTCTTTGAATGCTAAAATAAGGAAATTGGATTTTTATCTTGTAAGTAACAGGGAGGTGGGGAATGATGTCTTGGAAAAGCCCCAGTGGTGGTGTAGAGCCATGCCCGCAGCCAGAGTACTTAAATGCACAAGGATGGAGTGGTAGGAAGACAGGACTTGAAGCCTCGGGACACAAAAAGTGATAGTGGCAAGTGATTCAGATCAATTCTAAGCTTGAGTCATCCTCTTCTGACTCACCCCTAGACTGCTCCCTTGCTGTTGGGGCCCTTGGGAGAAAAGTCTGGGCAGCCGTGGACTCTCGAGGCAGGGTTTGAAGTGTCGGGGGTGAGCAGAGAGACCAGGCAGGAGCTGCTGCATGATCCAGGTGGGGATGGCCAGTGAGCACAGCTGAGGTGCTCCAGTTGTTTCTGAAGCTCCTTAGGTTGGCTCACAGGGGCCTTGGGACAAGCCAGAGGGGGCGGGGTGGATGGGACTTTTTGCTCCTTCCTCTATTTTCAAGTGTAACTGCTTGTTTCTCTTATGGAATGAGGGTTCTACTTAAGACTTTTCTTTAAAAAAAAAAAAAAAGCATCTGCTGATTTAAAAAAAGAGTATTCAAACCAGTAGGCTAGAGTCACTCAGATGTAGAATTGACACATTTTTTTGTGTGTGTGAAATTGAGGGAAGGAAGGAGTGAGTCTGAGATAGCAGGGGTGGATTGATGGTTGGTAAGGATTAAGCAGGAAGAACAGTGCTGGAGAAAACAGGAATTCCATTTGGGAAATTGTTCTCATAAAGCAACCGGGGGCAGGAAGGAATAAAGCAAATACCATATTTTAAATATGATAATCACATAAAGTAGAAATATCTATTCTGGGAAGAGTTAAATTTTACTGGACACTTAACTTTTAACCCTTAAGTGGCTGGTACTGCTGACAGGCCTGTAGGAGCCCTATCCTTACTGAGGCCTGTCTCTCCACACCTCATGAGGACAGTCTTTGGTTAGTTCCCCTTCCTGTTGCCCCCTTTTGGGCTCCTGCTTCTGGAAGGCAGGTGAACCCAGGGTTCCCTGAGGCCATCTACCCACCAGGCAGACTGTGGACTGTGATGGCACTCCACATCCCGTAGAGTAATGCAGAGTCCTGAACTCGGAACAGCTGAAAGACAGATCTGGGCCCATCCATGGGAGTGGGAGTGGAGTGTGGGGTGGGGGCTCCCAGAAAATGAATTATCTTGGGATCTGCTGAACTTGAAGTGTCTGTGAAATGTCCAGTCTCGTATGGGTCTGAAAGTCAGGAGAGAGGTGAGGAATGAAATTGCTAGGAACAGTGTGGAACAGGCACATACAAACAAGAGAGGTGGTAAAAGGGGTCAGAGACAGGAGGGGACCCCGGAGAAGGAAGGACTGCAGAAGTGAACAGAGGATAGAAGAGTGAGGACTGAGAAGGGGTCCTTGGAGTTCTTAGGATATGAGCAACCTCTAGGAGAACAGTGTCCATGAAGAGGGTAGAATGAGTGCAGCACAGGCTTTAGAGTTGTAGAACTCCTGAGACCTCTGCAAGTTATATAATGTCTCTGAGCCTCAGTTTCCTCATCTGTAAAATGAGGATAATATAAATGCAAAGTCATGAAATTAAATGATAACATTTGTAGTATCTTGTTCATTAATAGACTTAATAAATGTTTTCCTTCGTGCTACATTTAAAGATTGTGAAACAGAGGGACAGAAGCAGAGGTTATTAGCTTGAGGAAGGTGAGAGCAGGGTAGAAAGGGTATTCCAGGTTAAGTGAGGTGCGTACTTGATGGAAGGAGCTGGTGAAGAGGTGAGATCGAAGTCTGCAGTTCCCTAAGTAAGAGAGAGTGTATGTCTGAGGGGAAGAGCTGGAGAGCATGGGCTGAGGAAGCCCTCTTGGAAGCAGCAGGAAGAGTATTCCTCTGCCATCAGCAGGGGGCCAGAGCAAGTTCCAGATGAGCAGAGGTAGTAGAAGGGGACCTGGACCTCTGCCTCAGACTTCACGCTCCAGTGAGTCGTCTTGGGTCAAGTGAGACAACTCTCCTACAACCTGCTCACTGGGGTGTTGTAAGGCTTAGGTGAGAAGCACAGCACCTAGTCCATGGTGCTTTATAGTGTGATGTGTTCTTAATAATGCTGGGGAGTTGTACAGCTGATGGCCTTTATTTTTCCCGTGGACAAAATGATTGTGGGTATAGTGCTTAAAAGTAGGGGCTTCGTTGTTATAAAGACCTGGGGTAGAATTCTTGTCCAGCCACATGTTAGCCTTGAAGACCTTGGGCAGTTACTCTAGTTCCTCTCAACCTTGGTTTCTTCTTCCACATAAAATTAGCACCTGTGCTTTAGTTCAGATATGTGAGAATTAAGTGAGATAATGTGTGTGAGGCACTCAGCATGGTACCTGGTACATAGTAAGCACTCAATAAATACAGCCGTAGATGCTTACTAAGAAAGCATACAGGGAACTTATGACCTAGCAATGGCTCAAGCTTAAGCCAGGGGGACAAAGAATTGTGAGAAACACAGGCATCTGTCAGACAGAGAACATGTACCTTGAACACCTACCCATGATCCAACCCCTCCAGTTCCCTGTGACAGCTAAGCCAAGGGCGGGTATGGGAGGCTTAATTATCAGATGGGGGAGGACTTGAATGACTTGGTCTCCGAAGTGCGTCCCTGTCCTGTGGATCTCTTCCGGGGGAGGGGGCTACTTGAGCATCTGTAGTCTGACCCATGCCTTCCCTGGAGGCAGCCAGCTTCAGGTTCAGGCCTGTGGTGCCCCCCTGCTTCATGCGCTGCTGTGCCCACAGGACCGGGGCTTCTGCGTGGAGGTGAACACAGCCTTCGAGGACTTCGCCCACGTCATAAGCTTTGACAAGAGGGCTGCTGCGCTGGATGCAGGCAACATCAAGCTGACTTTCAATAGTGTGAGGGGCCGCGCGGGGTGGGGCTGTAGCCAGGGCTCCGTTCTCGAACTCGTCCCTTGCTCTGGTTCCATTCCTTCTCACTCACCGCCCCAGTGTGACTCTACCCCCAGTCCAGGAGTGATAGTAGGAGCTCAGACTCCAGCTTCCCACACACCCACCTCCTGAGTGACCCTGCCCTGTGTCCTGTCCCCTTCAGCTGCTGGAAAAAGCAGAGGCACGCGAGAGAGAGCGGGAGAAGGAGGAGGCCCGGCGGCTGCGGCGCAGGGAAGCTGCCTTCCGAAGCATGCTGAGGCAGGCTGTGCCTGCTCTGGAGCTGGGCACGGCCTGGGAAGAGGTCAGGACTGCAGCCTGGCATCAAACACCACCCCCTCAGTCCTGAGGGCAGCGGTGCTTCACCACCACTGGGGGCCCACCCCAGTCGTAGCACAGCTCGGGGCCAGCTTCGGCGCCCTTCCTTCCTTCCTCTGCCCCAGCCCTGCCCTGTGCTCACGGCGGCCTCCATGTTGTGCTGGGGCTGGTCTGATCAGCAGTGCTCTCCTGTTCAAGGTCCGTGAGCGCTTTGTGTGCGACTCAGCCTTTGAGCAGATCACCCTGGAGTCGGAGCGGATCCGGCTCTTTCGGGAGTTCCTGCAGGTACTGGAGGTGAGGCAGAGCTTCTGGTCCTCTCTCTCTGCCCCAGGCTGGTGAACACATGAAGCTAGCTTAACAGTAGCCTAGTAACCTCTCAGCCCCAGGCTCTCCTTTCCCAGACTACTAAGGAAGGGGAGGTCTCACGGTGCCCAAGGCCCTAGCCTCAGAGGAGGCAGCAGAACCTCTGGGACACAGGGTCCTTCCTGGAGCTAACCTTGGTGCCTTCCTCACCCTTCCTTCTGCCTCCACCAGACGGAATGCCAGCACCTCCACAGCAAAGGCCGGAAGCACGGCAGAAAGGGCAAGAAGCACCATCGCAAGCGCTCCCACTCACCTTCAGTGAGTTGGCGGGTAGGAAGGATGTGGGGTGAGGCTGGACCACCTGAGGGAAATAAGAACCACTTCTCTCGCTTCCCCCATATGTCACCTGCCTTGGAGGGAGACTGGGAGCTTCCTTTGGTCTTGGATTCCTGTCCCAGTTCCCAGACTCGAGGGCTTCTGGAGCCCAGTGCCGCTCTCTGCTGACTTGTATCTGTTCACCTACCCAGGGCTCTGAGTCAGGAGACGAAGAGCTGCCCCCACCCTCTCTCCGGCCCCCCAAGCGGAGGCGACGGAACCCCTCGGAGTCGGGCTCTGAGCCCTCTTCCTCACTTGATTCTGTTGAAAGTGGGGGTGCTGCCCTTGGAGGACGGGGTTCCCCCTCCTCTCGCCTTCTCCTCGGATCAGGTAAGCAGTTGGGAGCTGGAGGGGAGGCCTTAGGGGAGCCCCACCCCTGAGGGTGGAGGTGGTGGGGAGCGCTGCACCTGTCAGAGAGTAAGAACTTCCCGTCCCTGCCCAGGCGGGAAGCGGAGAGAAGGAAGGAGAACTGGACTGAGACTTCCTCAGACAGGTCCCTGCCTGTGAAGAATGAGCAGAGAAAAGGATGAGGCCTCCCTTTTCCCATGGGACTTAGTGGGGATTTTTCCATCTCCAGATCATGGTCTTCGGAAAGCCAAGAAACCAAAAAAGAAAACTAAGAAGAGAAGACACAAGTCGGTGCGTAGAGAAGGAACTTCCGTCCAAGGCTCTGCTATTTTATGAGATATCGTCATGTCTTCACCCGCCTCCCGGGCCGTCCTCCACAGGAACTGAGGAGGCGGCCTCTGGGCTCTTACAGAACAGTCCTGAGAGTGAGACAGACCCTGAGGAGAAAGCTGCCAAGGAGAGTGATGAGAAAGAACCAGAACAGGACAAGGACAGGGACCTCCGGCGGGCAGAGCTCCCTAACCGCTCCCCAGCCTTTGGGATCAAGAAGGAGAAGGTGAGAGGCAAGCACCCGGCCCCCGCCCGGTCAGCGCTCTGCCCAGGCCCTCGGGAAAGCCGTGGGTGAGCTGTGCCTTTGCTCCACCAGACGGGCTGGGACACGTCGGAAAGCGAGCTGAGCGAGGGGGAGCTGGAAAGACGGCGGCGGACGCTCTTGCAGCAGCTGGACGACCACCAGTGACCTGACACGCCACCGTGCCTCGGGTCTGCGTGAGGCTGTGGCTGAGTTCACCCTCGCTATCTGCCCCAGAACTTCTTCCTTAGTTGGGTCTGTGTCCACTTTTTCTCAAGTATCCCCAATCCCAACCCACCATTTCTGGCATCTCCCAAGGTGCTTGTGGTGTTCAAGGGTCCCCTCAACTTCCCGGACAACTAGTGCTTGCCCTCAGTCTCAGACCAGCGATTGGTGGTGAATGCCATGTGGGTGGGTGGTACCAATAGATAAAATGTGAGAAGGGGCCCCCAGAACAAGTGGCAGGCTGGTGGAGACAGCCTGGGTGGCAGGGGCGGGGTCCTTAGCCTCTAGCATCAGGGCCTGCTCCTCCCTGCCCAGGCCCTGGGGCTCCACCACTCCTTTCTCCAGCCCTGGGGCGCAGTGTATGTGTGTTTTGTTTTGGTTTTGTTTTTTAAATGACAATATTTATAACATGGCCAGTGGCTCTTTTGTCTTGTCTGTGGGCAGGCTGGGGACCAGACAGGTACACGCAGGGCCAGCAGGGGGCACTGGTGCCTCATGGGAGGCCTGCCTCCCTTTGTGAGGTTGGAGCCCATCTAAACAGGTTCTCCTCGCCCAGGCTTCTGCAGTCACCTCCCCCAAGCATGGCAGCTTGGCCCAGCCTCCTTTCTGTCCCTGTGGCTTGCTGCTACTTAGTCACATCGGTCATGTCCAATTCTGTGCGACCCTTGGGCTGCAGCCTGCCAGGGTCCTCTGTCCATGGGCTTCTCTAGGCAAGAATACTGGAGTGGGTTGCCATGCCCTTCTCCAGGGGATCTTCCCCACCCAGGGATTGAACCCATGTCTCCTGAATTGCAGGTAGATTTTTCACCGCTGAGCCACCAGGGAAGCCCCCCTGTGGCTTAGGTCAGCCTAAATGGCCAATGTAACCCCTATGCTCAGAAAAAGGAGACAGAGTCAGGCCTGGTATTTCAAGCCTTTGTTGAGGGAAGGTTTGGAGTTTATGTACAAGAGAGAAGGAAGTGGTACATGTACAAAAAGGGGTGGGCCCCTGTGTTCCCTTCAGGGACTGAGAAGAAACTGACCGGGGATGGAGAAAACAGTTGAGACCACCATGACCCTGCCCCCTGCCAGCAAAACCTAGCTGGGGAAAAGTGAGGATGCTGTTGGCACACCCGTTCTCTTGCTGTCTCCAGGTTGGGGAAGAGGAAATGACCCCTCTGCTCACATTGGCAAGGACAGTCAGCCTCGACTGCGAAGGGCCACAGGCAGGGAGCGTGGGATCGCTCCTCTCCCTTTATCACTAGGGCACAGCTGGGTGGGCCCAGGCTTAGGAGAGCCTTGCTGCTGGTAGAAGGTGATCTGAGGGTGGCAGGGTCCAGGGCTGTCTAAGCTTGGACACTCCTGGATCACAGCTGACCACTGGAATTCAAAAAGTAAGGGGAAAAAAGAAGGGATAATTGCTTTCTCCTCTCCTCCCTCTGGCTCTAGTGACGGCGGGCCTAGGTGCCCGTGGCCTAGCTTAAAGCTGGAAATGGTTTTAATCCAGCCCTGAGCTGGCTCTTGAGGAAATGAAGTTGAAGACCTTGGGAGCAAAGTGCAGTACTGGAGGCACCAGGGAAGTGCCAGGCCCTGAAAGACGTCGTGCCCACCGAGGTGGCAGGCGAGATGCAGCTCTGAGAGCTGGGATGGGCTGAGAGCAGCATAGCCCTCTGCTGGGCCCTTGGCCAGTTCCAGGGCTTCAGGTGCACTGGCTGGACCTGCAGGACTCCATGGGTTGAAGTGCTTCTGCTTCCAGGAGGGTCTCAGTGGGGGCCTGGAGCCCGAGGGGGGCCAGCAGGCGGTGCAGCACTCCTGGCTGGATGGCGAACGACGAGGGGCTGGTGGTGGAGGCCTGTGGGGAAGACAAGAGGCCTGTGAACAAGCAGGGAGGCTAGGCCAGGCCCACCTTCTGTAGGCCCAGCCCCACAGGCAGGTTTAGCAAAGAGCCAGCTGTGAGGCTAATGAGTGAGATTAAAAGGCTGGAGTGGACAGTCAGGGTGGACTCTGCATGTTCAGAGCAACAGGTGGGAGTGCTAAAGGTCACTAGGGAATGGCAGAAATAAGGTGGACTCAGCAAGAGCTAGAAGCTGGGAAGAGACCCCAGGCAGATTGGATATCAGGAAACAGGTCAAGGATCATCTGATGTCCCTGGGCAGAAGCCACTGCCAGAGCTCATTTGAGGAGGCAAGGACAACGGACACCCAGGCCCAGGACTGGAGCTGCTCAGCCTCAGTAATCAGAGGCGGTGCTTGGTCCTGCCTATCTGGGCAGCTCCCTACCCCTTGGGTCTTAGTAGAAGCCAAGACAGCATTAGTGGGAGAGCACCACTTCCCTGAGGGTACATGCAGGGATCAGTCACGCTTCTCAGAGCATGGGGCATGCAAGGGAAGAAGTATGTGTCCCCCATCACCGCGAGGCTGCCAGAGGATGGTTCCAAATCATGCAGGGGAGGAGGTGCCTGTGGGTCCCAGCAGGAGTGCTGGGAGGTGGGCATGCAGAGGGCAGCTGTGGTGCCCAGTACCTGTCAAGGGCCCCAGCCTTGGGGGTTAACAGTTTGACTCATCATGGTGGGCTGCATCACAGAAGAAGCGTGAGCCCCGCTTGGCAGTACGGGCCGTGAAAGGGACACTCTTCAGCACTGTGGCCCAGGAGAGAGACACAGTGGTCAGGCCCCATGGGGGTGGGGTGGGAGGTATGGGAAGGGTTTGGGTGCCACCCAGTGGCCAGGCGCCAGGGAGGGCAAAGGGCCCACCTGTGATGATGTCCTCAATGGTACCATCCTTCCCCTCATAAACAGGCCGGTGCTCTTTGGCTTGGCGCCGCCTCAACTCTGCAATCAGCTCCTGCTGTTGCCACTTGTTCCGCTGGGATGGGGTCTAGGGCCGAGCATTTGAAGGGGAAGGGTGTCAGCACTAACCCTCCACAGGGCTGGTTCCTGCCTCAAGATGCACTCAGACTCTGGAGTGCCCTGGATTGTGCTCACCAGCGCCACCACCCCCCACATCATGGCCTGGGAGTCCTTTCTCGGAGCCCCTCTCCCCATCCTGTGGACTCCAGCATCAGGTCCTCTGGGTGGTCTTTGGGCTCCAGTTCTCAATCTCCTCTCCAGCTCTCTGCTCCACCCTCCCCCTAAGCCTTTGTCCTGCTCTCCAGGCCCCAGCCCTTGGTCCCACCCACCTTGGCATCCAGTTTCTTGGCTTCTTGAGCCAGCTGCTTCTCCCGCATGACTTCCTCCTGCTTCTTGCGGGCTTCGTTCTCTTGTTCTGCTTCCTAAGAACCATGAAAGATGGGTGTGTGTGTGTGTGTGTGTGTGTTCTGCTTCCTAAGAACCATGAAAGATGGGTGTGTGTGTGTGTGTGCGCGCGCGTGCTGAGGCTCACACAGGCTATGCGGGGAGGAGCTGACACTGAGGTGAGGCTCACACAGGCTATGCGGGGAGGAGCTGACACTGAGGGTGGAGAGTGGGTGTCAGTGGGACCAGCAACCCCAGGTGGCCACCCTCTGGAGGGGCACTTCCTGCCCCAAACAATGACAGGAAGGGCCTGGGCCCCCACCCTGCCCACCAGTTCACAGCTAAGAGGCCTGCGGCCAGCTTCTATCCATCCCTCCCAGGACCCAGAGGAGGAGACAAAAGGCCCAGACTTAAAGCCTAGCCCTCTCCCCCTTGCCCGATTTCTCTGAGCCAGACTCCTCTTTAGAAACCTCTCTTCTACTCACCTTGTAAGAACGAATGAATCGGACAAACACTGGGAAGAATACCGAAGGAGGTGTGGTCTTGGGACTCTCACCGAAGTAGCGTACTACGGCATTGTAGGCTTCCTGGGGAAGGGGTGGGCAGAAGGGGTCAGCCCGGCGGGCTAGGGGAAGCCCAGCTCCCACCAGGGACCAGCCAGGACCAAGCAGAGGCAACAGAGGCCCCCACAGCCCCTGTGGGAGGGAAAAGAACGAGGGGCTCCCAGAACCCCCTGAAGTGCATGTCTCCAGAGGCAGCTGCCTGCCACCCACAGTGCAACCCCCTGCCCCCCAGTCAGCCAGCCAGCTGCTTGACGAAAGTTCTCTGAGCCAAGAACCAGAACGACGCCCACCAGAGGGGCATGGTGCCATGGCCCCGGCTGCTTGCACCCGCCTCCACCCTGTGCTCACCTCGGCCGTCTTGGCGTCACGCTGGAGCTTGTCCAGTTTGCCTTCGTTGGTGCTGAGGAAGTTGCGCAGGACACTGTTGTCGTGTATGCTGCATTCCCGCCGGATCAGCTCCATGCCCCGGCCCAGCTCCTTCACGTCCAGCAGCACGTTCTCCAGGGACACTGTGGTCACCAGAGCCCAGGCTGAGGACTACAGCCCTCCCCACGGCGGGGACTAGCTTGGTTCCTCATGCCCTGCTTCCAGAGCTCCCACACGTGTGGAGAGGGGCACACCAAGCGAGCCAGGCTCTCACAGGGGAAAGGAGGAGTGGAGGCTGTGGGCTCGTGACCCTCCAGACAGCCAAGGAAGGTGAGCCGGAGACTGCTGGGCACCAACACAGAGCTGCCCCAGGCCTGCCCCGGTTTCATGAGGGGGATGAAAATAACAGCGACCCTATGTCTGTGGGGGGCTTCACATACATCACAGAGACAGGCAGGCTCCAGGGCCAGCCTGCGGGGGCAAAGAGCCACGGCTGCCTTCTCTACCAGCTCCCACAGCACCCGGGTGGGGCGAGAGGCCTGTAGGAAGGCTCTCTCTGGGGTGGCCCCTGCCCATGGCCCCAGCGGAAATCTTTGAAGTGTCAGAAAAAAAGAAAAGCCAGAAAGAAAGGCACCCAAGCGTTCTCCTCATAGCTTCCAGGGATTGTCCTGGGCTGGACATAAGGGCAGGCTCGCCAGGCCAGGCTCTCACCTGCAGCGGCTTTCTCTACAAAGTGCAGCTCATGCCAAAAGTTAGCCAGGTCTGGGTACTTCTCCTTCACTGTCAGGGCGATGAAATGAAGCAGGGTCATCTTCCTGTCGGTGGACTTGGTGTCCAGCAGCTGGTCGAGGGGGGCAAAGGGCAACGCAACAGGTCTGAACACCTGGGCTCCACAGCTGCCGCCCCTCAAGCTCCCTGGCTCCTTGTCGTCCCTACCCTCTTACCAGATCCAGGCTCTGGAGCTTGAAGCCATACACAGCTCCCCGCTTGCTGCTGTTCATGTAGTTCCCCAGCGCAAGTATGATCTGTCCAGAGGTGCACCAGAGGAACTCAGGGCAGGCCCTCCTCTCTGCACAGCTCCAGCCCCACCCAGGACCTGGGGACCACCCGCACCCACGTCCACAACCTCCCCCACCTCTAACATCTGCTTCAGCTTCTGGGAGGACTTGACAGAGGCAGAGGCGGCAATGATAGCGTTGAGTTGCTGGAAGGCAAGAGGAAGAACTAAGTAACCCCACGCCAGGGGGATGGCGTCAGAGCAGGGCCAGCAGGGAAGGGGGCCAGCAGGTCAGGAGTGGGGGGGGGGGGCGCACCGTGGACCACCAGGATTCGGGGGAGAGCCGTACCGGCGTGAGCATCTGCAGGTTGTCCTGGAAGTTGCCCAGGAAGGCCATGCCAGCCATCCGCTGGGTCAGCCGCTCCACCTTGCTGAAGAGCAGCATGAAGCGGTCCTCGGCTGTCAGCTCCTCCAGCGGCTGCCGCTCCCGCTCGTACTGCCGCAGCAGCTTCACCTCCGCCTCCGTGGGCAGGAAGCGCATCAGGCACTCCACGAAGTCGACGGGCAGTGTCTGGAGGTCGAACCTGTGTAGGAGGGAGGAACCACCTCGGGTCTTGCCTTTGCCCACAGTATCTGTCATCCCTTCATGATCCAGTTCCTGCAAGGATGGAGGGCGGGGTCTGGAGCAGCACACAGCCAGAGGCAGAGGACTCATGGCCTCACCTTCAGTAACTCCAATACTGATGTTACTCAGCACCAGCAAAAGTCCTAGGGGCACAGTCCATTCTTGTTTAAGAACCCTTCAGTGTCTTCCCTCTGCAGCTAAGAAGTTTTAACTCCCAGAGATGGCTTAGGAAGCCCAGCCTGCAAGACCTCTGCTTGCCTCTCAGTCTCCTTGGCTCCCCTCTTTACACTAAAGCCAGAGTCAATTTTCAGTATCCAGGGCACCATGCCTCTCCCTCTAGGCCCCAATCTGCACTTCATATACATATACATCCTTCAGGTCACAAGTGAGACATCGTCTCCTCTAGGAAGCCTTCCCTGATCACCAAGCTCAGCTACCTGGCCCTCGCTGTTCTCCCAAAGTCTCCTGTACCTCCATCATCTTGGTGGTTACCACCCAGTGTTACTGGACTGTTCCCACTAGACTGGGAGCTCCCTGAGGGAAGGTCTGGACTGACTCCCCTGCATCTCACAAAGTGTTTGGCACATAGCACAGATGCAGTCAGTTCTGGCTATGCCACTGAATGACTGAGGGAGTTCTGTCAATACCCTGGAATCCAGAGAAGGCTGGGGTCCCAGGTGGAGATCCTAAGTGGGTTACCAACAGGTGGGGGCCAGGGAAAGTTCAGTGGGAGCCTCACGTGTGGATGGCCCTGCAGATCTCCTCAGCTGAGCGGCCAGCCTTGCGTAGGGTGATGGCCAGGTTCTTGGCACGATTGGCTTCCAACAGGGTCACCTTGCTGGCAGCCTTTTGTGCTGTCTTGTTCTTGGAGCAGATGAGATCGAGGGCAGGGCCCTGGGCTTTTGTCTTGAACAGTTCTTCAAACTTGTCCAGGTCCAGGTCCTGGCAGAAGTCATGAGAGGGAAAGTGCTGTGGTCTCTCCCTATAGGAGGAGGGCCCCTGGCAGCACACCGGCACTGGCTCAGCTCTGGTACCCCAAGGGCTGAGTCTGGGGGCCCCTCCAAGGCCAGGAGATCTAGCCTGAAGGACAACCTAGTCCCTAGCCCCCAGTCCCATCCCTCAGGGCCCCGGGCCCTGCTACCTCCAAGATCTTCTCATCATCAAGTTCGCTGAAGACAGTGCCACTGATCTGGTTGGGTTTTAGGGCTGTCCAGTTGAAGACGGGCAGCCGGAACTTGGTCTTGATAGGTTTCTTAATGCGAATAGCTAATTTAAAAGGAGGATCAGTGAGACAGGAACCAAGGACACGCTCCTTTGGTCCCACTAGCTCTGCCCAGAGCCCTCGGGACACTCACCTGACAGGCCTACTGTCAACACCACAGAGGGGGCAGCGCCAGGGAGAGGTGGGGCCGGGGGACACTTGTCTGGGGGAAGAGGAAATGGCACAGTGACTCAAGGGCCAAGAGACCCCTCTGCTCGTCTACCTGTCCCTAAAGACTTTCAGGGGAGCAGGCTGCATGAACTCCCTGCCCAAGCAGCTCCCAGGGGTTCTAACTCTGACTCCCAGGGGTCCCAGGGGTGGTGGTGCTGGTCTCTGACCCACTCTTTCCTGCTTTAGGCTAAGCCCTCTCCTTGAATGTCTTCAGAGGAATCAAAAGCAGCATCTTTATGTTCCTTAAAACAGATCCACACCTGCTCTCAGAATCCCTTCCCTAATAACCTGAGCATCCCTCAGATGCTCCCTCTCTCAGCCCCTCCCATCTGACTTTACATCCTTCCAGCACATCCCCTGTGGCCCCACAATAAGGCTGCACCTCTTACCTTTTACCAGGTAAGGGTCCTGCTTACCTGGTAATGGGGGAGGAGGCGGGGGCAAGGGAGGAGCTGGTGGTGGAGGCAGAGGTAGGGCCTCCTCAGGGGGTGGGGCCAGAGCAAGGAGGTCCAGGTCAGAGTGGGGCATGCCCTCATTCAGCTCCGCAGAGCCCACTCGGGCCAGAGCCTCGCTGCCCACAGACTCCAGGCCCCGGGCACTGGGCTCCAAGTGGCATCGGCGCTGGAAGGCCTCCTCTTTCTCTTTAATGAGCCGCCGCAGGGTGTGTACCTGGTGGCTCGTGTTCTCATAAGTCTCCTATTGGGCAGAGAGTACTATTAGGAAAAGAGCACCTGAAGGCCTGGGAATGAGGCTTCCTACACAGGGGTCTCCAGGAGGGTGCTCAGAGGCAAAGAGCAGCAGAAACCCTGGTGGGGACCGGAGGAAGCTGGGATGCAACGTAACAAGAGGTGAGTGGAAGAGTCAACCATCTGGCTGGCACCCTGCAGTGCTCCAGTCCAATTTCACTGGTCCCTCAAGACCTAGGTAGAAGGCTGCCTTGGGAGATGCTCCTTGACCCACCAGCAGCCTGCTATTGCTGCTCTCAGCCCTTGGTGCCTCAGGCCTGCTCTCGTTCCATCTGGTTTGTACAACTGCTCAACTGGAAGCCCCCTATGGACAAGGCCCTGCCTTAGCCACCTCTGTGTCCTCCATACTCCCGACAGAGCACTTCAGACTCTTAGCAGGGGCTTGGTGGATGTGTGCTGGGCTCAGCAAAGCTGGCGTAACTGTATTCCTGTGGGTGAAGAGGTAGGTTGGGGCATGATTTTGCAACTACAAAAGTTCAATGAGGGACAGAGAAGACACTGAAATATAAGGAGGCCTTGCCCTCCAGTATGGGATACCTGGTGGAAACTCTAACAAACAGCCCCAAGGAGCTGGGCTGGGGAAGCATGTGGAGGTGCAGGCGAGGGAGAAGCAAGGCTGGAGGAGGAGGCGGGGACTCTAGAGGTGTCTCTACCCTTCTGTGTGTGCATCTGGCCCACTGTGGCTCCAGCTTCCCTCTCCAGCTAGATCCTGGGGTGAAATCATCAGCCCACTCTCAGTGGAGTGCTCCAAGGGTGAATCAAGATCTGGATTCTTGAGGACTTTACATGATTCAGAGATGGAAAGCAAGATCCCCTGACCCCAGGACCCAGGGGCCCCTTTCCCAGGTAACCTGGTACCTTGATGCTCTCAAGTTCCTTCTCCCGCTGCAGCAGTTGCTTCTCTAGCTCCGCCACACGCATCATGTTTTCATTCTCTAGGTCCAGAAGCTTCTCTGTGAGCTGCAAGATGAGAAGGGAAGGTCTGGGGCCAGTCCTAAAGCCGGGCCACTCGGTGGAATCTAAGCCCGAGTGACCAACCCAGGCCCGACCCCTCCATCCAGGGCTCCAAAGGCAGCTTGGTCCAGTGGCTTCCCTATGGACTCCTGTGGGCCTAGGATCTGAGGCCGCGGGAAACAGTACTAGGCAAATGGCTACATCTAACTCTCTGGAGCCCAAGACCACCTCACATCCAGTCCAGAGGTCACTAGTGGTATGTTCACTCCCCTGCAGATGGCTCAGTACCTCAGCCAAATCATGTGCCGGAGAGCCCTGCTGGGTTCTGAGGCTTCCGGGGGGCTCAGTTGGGAGGTACATAGGTCGGCTCGGGATTCCTGGGACTCAGATGTCCCCATTCCCTCCCCACCCTCAACAGTGGTCCTGGCAGCAACGGAGGACCACGTACATGGGACACATGCTCCTCCAGTTCTTCCACCTTCTCCAGAGCCACATTCTTGGTCTCGGCATCCTCCAACAAACCCCCCACATCGAACACGTTGTCCAGGTACGCCTGGATCTGCACCTGCAGCTTCTCGCTCTCTGTATGCCGTGACTTCTGGGGAAAAGCAGACACAGTAGTAGTGGGGGGAGCCTCCTCATCCCCTCCACGACCCCTTCCTGGAGCTAGGACCCGGGGAGCTCCTTCTGCAGCAGTGTCCGATTCTTGGCCCTGGAGCTGACTGACTGAGCCCTCTGCGGGAAGGCCTGAATCCCAGGCCACAGGAGACAGGTGGGGTGCCAGAAGCATCCATGAATAGGCTCTTAGAAAAGAAACACCCACTGTGATAGAGCTAAGCTGGTCTTCTGTCCCAGAGCACCTCCCACTGCGAGGACTCCAGTCCACCGCACCTGCAGGAACTCCTCCAGCCCCAGCTTCGTGAACTCATACTGCAGATGGACCCGGAAGTTCATGTCTTCCACCGAGTGCACCACGATGTTGATAAACTGCATGCAGGCCACCTGGGGGAGGAACAGCCCAGAGGGTCAGAGACAGCTGAGACAGAGACGATAGGTGGCTGGCAGAACCAGCATCATCAGGGGGATAATCAAAAGGAGTGAGTAAACAAGTAAGTCTTTGGGGAACAATAGCAATAAGAGTATTTTAACTTAAGTCAAACAATATTCAGTGTATGAAGACAAACTATATGAGAAATGGGTATAAATGAAGATTCATGCTCTGATATCCTTTGCACATCAGCAGGTTTTTTTTTTTTTAAACTTACTTCTGTTTTTATTTTTTGGCCACATCACCTGGCATATGGGATCTTAGTTCCCTGATCGAACCTGTGCCCCCTGCGGTGGAAGTGCAGAATCTTAACCACTGGATCACCAGGGAAGTCCCTCAGCAGATGTTTCTTGAGACCACCCTACTAGCTGAACACCTTAGACTGAAGAGAAGTGAAGCCAGAGGAAAAGCTGGGGGAAAGGAAAGCAGCTCAGAAAGGATCCAAATCAGGGATGGTAAAGCCACAAAAAGGGGGAAAGGAACCAGACCCAAGACAGAAAAATGACCTTGTCCTGGAGTTTCCTCTGGGGTGAGTGGACAAGGAGCAGTTACTGAGTAGAGAACCACTAGAAGTTCCACACAGAACACCAAAGCGCACTGTCGGCCTGGCCCAGTTCTCAAGGAGAAGGTGGCCCTGCTGGGCAAGCACCTGACCCAGCCCAGTTCCTCACCATGAAGTCAATGTTGCTGTCCTCATTCCGGAAATATTCCATCAGCTTCTCAAAGCGGTGCAGCTCCTTGCACACCTGAACAAACAGACTTTCTCAGTGACAGGATCTGTCCCCTGCAGAACCCTAGCACCCCCAAGCCCTGGTTCCTAGAACATTCGGCAAAGGGACTTGGTTCTGACCAAGTGTAACCACAACTCTTTATGTAACTGGCCACTTGGGACATGACATAAGAAAGCCTGGGACCTGACATCTGCTCTGGGCCTCAGAAGGGGCTCAGTAAAGGTGTGACCTTAGTCTGGGCTCTAGGTGCCTCTGGGGTAGGCCAAGAAGAAACAAAGAGGCCTGGGGGTGCTGAGTTATTGAAGGAAGGAGTGGGGTGGAGGTCAAGGCTGAGGCAGGACACTGAGGTCCTAGCAGGGATGCAGGAGAGAGGCTCGGGCGCAGGAAAGCCCCGGAGCTGAGAGGGGTCCAGAGACTCAGCCGAGCCTCTGGCTTCAAGGAGGAAGAGTCACTTCCTGGCTTGAACAATGGATGCTAGGGAAGAAGTCCAAAGAGGAGGAAGGGGTGGGACCAGCAGCTGCGACTGGATGTCGAGGAATCCTATGTTCAAGCAGATGGGGGTTTCAGAGCCAGGCCCCGGGGCTGGGGAATTCCAAGTAGAAGCTCCTTTTCCCTTCACCAACAACAGCCAGCAACCCAGGAGAACCCTTGCTTCTCCTCCCACAACAAGTATAACTGCCTTGGGTACGACCAGTGTGTTCACCGCCTCTGAACCACCCAGGGTGCCTGTTAAAGCACAGATCACCAGGCTTCCCAGGGGTCCAACCATTTACCATGATCTTCAGGTATTCTGCACAGTGCGTTAGGACTACAGGACTGTAACCCTCAATGAGGGCATCCTTTGCTGGCCAATCAGGAGCATTCCCAACATAAGATCTAGTAAGACTGAAGTTTGGGTTTGGGTTTAAAAAAGCAGGGGGCAGACCACCTAGCTAAAAGCACTGGGCTGTTAAAATCCCCAGGACGTGTGAGATCACAGGAAAGGGTGCTTACCTAGCCGGCTCCCATATCTTCCCCACCAAACACACACATGCACACACACACATGAATGTAGGACACTGACCTCTTTGAAATTGTCAAAGGCAGCGAGAATGATTTCGTGACCTCCTCGTACCAAACACACAGCTGCCAGAAGCTCTAAGACAAGGGCTTTGGTCCTAAGGGGTGGAGAATAAAAATGAATACCTTTGCCCCTGCCCTGGCCATGACACAGTTCACTTTCACACCTGTGTGAGTCCTTTCGAGAGAACAAAGACAGCCTCCGTGGTGAAGGAGAAGGTGTGGGCTTGGGAGAGAAGGCAGGGGAGGCAAGCTGGCTCCCCTCCCTAAGCTGTGTACACCTGAGGGAAGCAGAACACTCCTCCTCCAGCAGAGGGGAGGGCGCCGAATTGAGGCACTGACCTAGGCCACAGGACCCGAGACCAGGCAGGATTCCAGACGGGGACAAGTGGAGCCCAGATCTCCAGAGCCCTGGGCATAGAGGGGAGGAAAGGAGAGGAAGGGAACTCACCTTGGATTCTTGTTGTTGAGACTGAGCGCAATCTCATTGACAGCGTGAGGGTGGGACATGACCAGGTTGAATCCATACTGCAGCAAGGAGAAAGGACAGGAGGGGAGACGGTGATGAGGGGAAGGCAGACCCCAGCTGGAGCTCCCTGACTGTGGGCCCACCTGCAAACTCATCCTTTACAAGCTGGTGCCTTCCTAGCTCTCCTGGTTGGGAGACCAGGTGGAAGGGGCAGAGCACCCACGGCCAGTGCTGTCACCTTACCTGGTAGTTCATGATAGCTCTGAGACAGAGGATACACACGTGGACGTCATCCTTCTGGCTCACCAGGCGGGAGTTCTTCAGGGCCCTGCGCCCAGGGAGAGTGCTGTACCTGTAGGAGAGAGGGATTCTGGTGAAGGGTAGAGGGCATGCAGCATCATTCAGACAGCAGGCTGCCCCTCAGCAGCAGGAGGAAAGGGGGATGGAGGACCTTGCATCAATATCCCTGAGAGAAGGTGCAGGGGGCAGGGTGCTCCACTGTTTTCACCTCCCTGGAGCAGGTCTTTGTCAGTAAATCTCCAGGACCCCAGCCTTAAAACCAGTGCCCAAACCATCCTAAGCTCAGAGCTCCTCCAAACACAATAGGAGGTGTGCAGGCCTTCCTGGATCTCAGGATGGGTCCAGGAGACATCCATCGGAGCCCTCCTTCCCCCTCCTCCCAGTCTACACGTCCCCTGAGGCAGGGGCATCTTGGCTCCCACCCCACTTCTAGGCCCTAGAAAAGACAGAGCAGACCCCAGAGGCTACAAGAGGGCCGGGACTACCTCTGACTTTGCCCCCAGTGGTGTTTCATGGAAAAAAAAGGAAACACAAATGGTATCTGGTCATGCATGACTAGAATGATGAGCAGTGTCAGGGGCAAGACCCAAAGAAGACAAGGAGAAAAGCATGGCTGAGAGAGATCATGGAAGGGGCCACAGGGCCCAAAGGAAAGCCTCCCTCTGTGAAGGGGCTCTGAGAAATCATCCAGTCCATCCACCTGCCTCTGGGCAGGACAGCTCTTCAGCTACTGCAGACCAACGAACACGCTGCAGCCTTGGAGGAAAAAAGGCCTAAAGGAAGAAGGGAGGGAAAGGTGAGCAGCAGCAGGCTGGTGGGGGCTGGTCTCTGGGCAGCTGATGGAGTTGAGTACAGACATGAAGGCAGGTGCTGGACCAGCCAGTGAAGACCAAGGAGCTGGATGAGGACAAGCCCTGCCCAGGGGCCTGGAGGAATGGCAGAGTGAGAGTGAGAAATGGAGGGGCCCCCAGAGAGGGGGAGATGACAGCGGAGCGCTGGAACCCCAGAGGGGGTGGGCACAGCCGAGGGGGATCTACTTACCCAGGACAGATCGCTGGGCAGAGTCAAGGGACAGAGAGGACAGACCAGAGACAGACTGGCAGGCAGAGGGCAAGAGAGCTGAGCCTGGAAGCAAGAGTGAAGGGAGGAGCGTGAGCACTCACCGCTGTTACCCAGGACATGGATGGATGGGGCGAGGGTGGGAGGCAGGCGGGCAGAGCGAGAGCACACATACCGGAGCACAGACTGGCGCGCAGAGCGAGCGAGGCTGTTGGTGAAGGGGGCGGACAGGGCGCTGGGTGGCTGCAGGTCCTCGATAGACCTGCTCCAGGACCGGAGCTTGTCAAACGCACCATCGTCACCACTCTCCAGAGCCTCAAAGTCAAACCTGGAGCAGGAAAGGACACACATGCCCGCACACAGGAGAAATTCAGTGCCAAGCCCCTGGCGGGCCCACCCCCGCCCGTTAGACCTTGAGGGCCATGAGAAGCAAGGGCAGCCAGAAGAAAAAGCGGAACCGGGCAGCAGAGACCCAGCCCTGGCCAGGAGAGCCACTGGCACAGGTGTGCTGAGCAGGGCAGAGGCAGCATAGGCCATGCCCGGGAGGGGCAACTGAGGAGATGGGGATGCTGAGAGGCCAGTTGCTGTTCCCCACTGACCAAGCAACTCCAGGAGTCACCTCCCATGGGCCTGAAGGGACTCGGGGGGCTGGTAGTCTTTCTGCACCCCCAGACATAGACAGGACATCTCAGAGAAGCCATGGGTCCCCTTGAGTCGGCCCGAAGAGCAGCAGTGGGGAACTGGGCAACTGCAGGTACTACTAGGCGGCCAACAGCAGCTGCCGGAGAGGCCTCTCAATGCCCTGAGCGGGCCTGGGTGGTTCTGGATTAAGTTCATGAGGGCAGGTCTGAGTGGAAGGGGATGGGGGTCCTGGTGAAGCCAGAGTGGGAGAGGCCTCCATGTTCAGGAAGAACTGCAGTCCCATCCCAGCACTGAGTTTTGATGGCTGGGTTCTCCATGGTTCTGCTTGAGGTTTCTAGGTTTTCCTGGCTCAGAGGCTCCTCGCGCTGCAGCTTCCCTTGGGGGAGGGCAGAGGTGTGAACTGGGGTCCTTAATCCCTACAGGAGTTGGGATGGCTTCTTTGTCACATTCTGCTTCTCGGACAAGCTGTCTTCCACAATCAGCAGTTTGGGAGTGTGGCCGGAGCAAAGAGGACAGCTCAAGATGATGAACCCATAGGGCCTTCTCCCTTGCAGGTCCCCTCATCAGATCTCCCCCTCTGAGAAACAAGCCCCACTCCCCTTTCCTGTCCTCTTCCCTGAAGTGGGTCACCCAGGACGGAACGAGCATTTCCAACAAGCTCCTTAAATATGCACAGCGCCAGGGTCAAAGTCACAGAGGCCAAGGCTTTCTGAAATAGGAAGCAGTATCTGCAGATGCCTGAATGTTTCCAAGAAAGTAGGAACAGACTTCAGGATCCTGACGGTCAGATGTTTGATGGGGCTTTCAAGCAGAACTTGGAGGAGTCTCCAGGACAGGGAAACCACTTGCCAGTGCCCTCCCTCTAACGATAATAGTATTCCCCACTCCAGCCCCACTCTGGAACATTCACTGTACAGATAAGTGCCTTTGCTCAAACTCTATTTGGCTTCACTCTTTTCCTCTCAACCCTTCCCAAAACACTTACTCTTACCTACCCTCTACCTGCCCTGAGTCTTTCTCTTACAAACAGTCAAAGGCACTGTCATGGACACTACAATACTGAGGTTCCAGGGTATTTTGGTTTCAAGCAGCTGGAATTTGTTTGCTTTCCAAACAAGATAGGCTTATTTGGAAAAATGATCTACATCTTTTACTATAAAAGCTCTGAATTTTTTTTTAAATCGCTTCAGCAAATATTTTTCATTTCTTTCTATAAAAAGAGTGAGTTTTTTTTTTTTTTTTAAGGGATAGAAAGATGATCAGGCTTGACTTCTGCAGGGACGGGAAGGGGGAGTCGGTCACTCTTGGTTTTAATGGGATGAACTGGTAAAAATGACTAAGGCCAAACCCAGGAGAGGCAATAGTTCCGAACTCTTAAGGAGATGAGGGTAAAAACCTGCTGAGGAAGGAGAATGGCCCAGGGCAAGGACAGCAGCAAGAAAAGTGAAAGTCATGACTGCGGGGGGTGGGGGGGGATGGGGGGGGGGGAAGAGTCCCTGGACTGAGGAGTTCCCCAGGATGAGGGACTTTCAGCGCTAACATTGGGGAAAGTCATGTGGGGGAAGTCACGGGTAAACTGGGATGATCGGTCATCAGAGGGCTCTGGTAAGTCTTGGGTACAGGTCTGCATGTGTTGGTCATGCTGTGAATGATCAACATAATCCCTCTTTCCATATGTTTAGGTAATTATGGTAGGGAACACCACCTTAAATAACAACAATTAACAAATAAAAGTGGCTACCACTATGTTCCAAATACTACAAACTGCTTTACACACATTATCATCCAATGCTTACAGCAACCCTGGAACATGGATCCCCTCTTACATAAGAGGACCTCAGCAATCTTTCCAGAGGTCACGCAGATAGTAAAGGACCAAAGAGACCCACGCTGGGCTTTGCCTTGAAAGCCCTCGTTCCTTCCACTCCCCACCCCAGCCCACGTTGCCTTTTCCTCTGTGCTAACTCACTTCCAGCTGCCTCCAAACCCCTGCCTGCTTGAAAAAGGCTCCTGAATGCTTCATTTTCAGTCTGTCAAAGGTCATGCTCACTGTTCCTGGGGTGACATGGAGGAACCCTCTCACAGCTGGAGACCTAAAGTGGCTTTGCGAAGACCTAGCTCTCCCAAAGTAAACGAACCCCATGGGGGCCTCTCTCCCAAAAGCCAGGACACCTCCTTGGGCAGCTCCCCAGCATGGAGTCTGGGTCTTCTGGGTTAGGATCCTGAGCTGCCCCTCCACATCCTGCCTTCTGCTCCTCAAAATGCACCTCCTACTCGTCACCTTGCATTCTTCGCTGACCTCAGACAGCCCTGTGGCCACCTGTCCATGCCCACACTGCTGCCTGGAGTTCCCATTCCACCTTCGCTACTGCCAGTTCCAGTCAAAGCAGAATGGGACTGTGTCCTACCTCACTGGTCCCCCCGCCCTGGTCCCAGGTGGTACTCACATGACAGAACACTGGGCAAAGGACAGGTAATCCACCAACACGTCCAGGCCTTTGTTTTCATCATTCAGAAACTCCCGCACCCACCTGCAGATAAAGGAAACAGCAGAGGAGAGCGCTAATAAAGTGGGTTGAGGGGGAGGAGCAAAAGGTGCCTCTGTGAAACAACATTCCCTCTTGGATCCTCTGGAACTCAGCACCAGGCTGGGAGAATTCTGAAGATCAAAGCCTGTGGCCGACCCAGCCATGTTCATGTCATCGGGCTGGACCTCCCCTAGGTGAGGGAACCAGAGATGGGGAGAGATGCAGGCCTTCCAACAAGACATCAGCCAAACCAGCCTTCAGGAGCCCCCTCCTCAAGAGCCAGGGCCCCCACTCCATCATTTTCTGGATTCCTGGTGTCTAACACGAGGCTGGGCACACCTTCCTGCTGCTACATTTGTGGGAGGAACTGAGGGTTACACAGAGCATTTACTGCAGTCCTTGGACAGAGCTGTGCCTGACGGAAGCTGGCAGGTCCCCAAATTGACTGGTGGCTCAGCAGGTAAAGAACTCTCCTGCTGTGCAGGAGACACAGGAGATGCGGGTTTGATCCCTGGGTCAGGAAGATCCCCTAGAGAAGGAAATGACAACCCACTCCAGTATTCTTACCTGGCAAATATCCAGGACAAAGGAGCCTCGTGGGCTACAGTCCATGGGGTCACAAAGAGTTGGACACAACTGAGCACCCCAACTCAACCAAAGTCTCAGTTAAAAGACAGGCAGGGAGGGGCAAAGAGAACTCTGGAAAAGAGGCATACCAGGCAAAGGGCTCTCCACTAAGTTCAAGGAAAGGTATTTTGGGAAGCGGTGAACAGAGGGATACGTCGGATTTCTGTGTGTGGTCACGGGTGAGACTGGCAGAATAGGAGAAGGATGGGGGAACAGTCAGGAACTCAAGTAACTCCAGAATGGCTCTGATCTCTAAGAGACTGAACCAGGAAGGCAGGAGGACAGACAACAGACCAGGGCACTTCCACCCTTCTGCCTTCAAGCCTTTTGAACCGAGACATCCCTGGAAGGAAAGTCAAGAGCAATTCACAGGATTGTTACAGGACAGGTTCACTCCTGTCCTGTAGACACACAGGACCCCGAGAGAAAGAAAACTCTCCAGATGAAACCCTGACTCTCTTGTGCCCTATTCACTCTGAGAGTCTGGGGGTCTTTCCAGGCCAGCAGTGCCGAACAGCCCCCCGAGGCCGCTTCTCCCCCACAGCTGGGACACCAGCGCCATGTCAGATGGCCACACCCGGGCTACAGAGAGAGGCCGGGCCGAAGCGCCAGGCCCGGCAGAGATCTGGCAGCAAGCTCTGGCGGAGGAGGCTGACTGACACCAGAGCTGCCTGAAGTTAGCTTCCTCTCTGGGGGCCGACAGGCCTCCCGTTTCCTGTCTGTCTGCTCTCCAGCTCCCCGCCCCCTTCTCATTTCCTGTCTGAGTCTCCACTGCTATTTTCGGGATCTTGACACTTTGAGGAGATGTCAAAGGGCACTTCAGCAAGGCCATGAAACCAACACAAACCAGGGGGAGGAGGAGCTAGGGTAGCTCTGGAACCCCACTTCCCAGCCTGGCCCGCTCCAGGCTCGAGTCCCCATCTTCCAAGGGCCTGGGGAGGATCAGGCTGCTTCAGAGGCAGGATCCCCCTTGTGCTACTTTGCCCTGGGCTCCCACCGCCCTGGAGCTCCCATAGCCCTGCCTGACAGCCTGACACACTCTTCCTGCCCAGAAATCCAGGAAGCGTCCTGGCCTTCCCACATAACTCCACCAGGGGAGCACAGTTCAAATGACAGGAGCTCCTCAAATGCCAGATGCTGAGCTGCTCCTGGGAACCAAGGACCCGGTTCGGATCTCTAACTTGTGTGCCAACTGCCGAGAGGCCTGGGCCTGGGAACCACGCTGCTCTGGCCTCAGGCCTGGCCGATGGCCAGAGGGGATGGCAGCAGCAGGTAGAGGGGGCAGGCTGGGGGGACCGTCCCACACTGCTCCACAGCCCTCTCCGGGGAAAAGCAGAGCCCCCTCCTCATGCAGGAGGACTCAGTAAGGAGGACAGGAGGGCCCGAGAGAGAAGGAAGTAGGGAAGGATAAAGGCCCTTCGGATGAATGCCGAGTGGTGCTTGGAGCTGTCATCTGTGTCGCCTGTGCTTTCACACGTGGGGTAGCTGATGGGGCACTGCAGTTTTTCCTTCCTCGAGCTTCACCAAATAAAGGTGAAGGCTGAGTTACACATTTCCTAGTGGATCAGTTCTCAATGTGTGGTTCATGGATGAAGTGTGAAAGCCAGCTCTGGCCACCAAGCACAGCGACCGCGTCAGCAACTGTCCTTTTCCTGTTCTCTCCCATGACTGCAGGAGGCAGCTGACTGCATACAGGTAGCCTGCATCAGAAGCCCGGGCGGGACGGGAGAGGAAGGCAGATGATGTCATTTGGCTCTTTCTACTCCTGCTCCTGGGGCTGGAACCTGCCCAGCAACCCCCACCTCCACCCCAGGCTCGACTTTTTAGACTTCTCACTCCTGTGAGCTCTCAATGATCAGGTCAGATCTGTAGTCCTGCCTGCAGTTCTCTGTCACTTTGTCTACGTATACACAAACACACACTCTCTCTCTCTCACCTTCTCTCTTGCTCTCACTTTCACTATATTTACCCTGGCTGGTTACAGTTTTATGAATCCAAGGCTGTAGCTCTTTCCCTCTATCTCACGCATTAGCCCTGTGCCTGCTCAGCAGGTTGTGGTTCCCCACTCCTCTGGAAGAAAAAAAAAAAAGACTCATGTAGTTTCTAGGGGCCCGGGCAATAGGTTGACAGGACCTGGGTCTGGGACAACAGAAGACGTTCAGCATCTGGTCCACCTGCTTTAGTTCTTCCCTGAAGTTTCAGGAAGCTGCTTCTGCTCATGAACTAAAATTGTCTTATAATCAAGCAAATAGTATTCTGGGCACCAAACAGTCCACAAACCAGGTCTCAGCAACCCAATGCAATACATTCTCCCATTCCCAGCCTTCTCTGGGCCTCCCTTGGCCCAGCCCCAGGCCACAGGCAGACTCCAGTCTCAGCTGCTGTGGGAATGTCTTCCACTCAAAGCCACAGACCGAGGACCCCAGGAGAGGCCCCAGGCTTGCCAGCAGCATCCAGTCAGCAGCTGGCAGAGCTGAGGGGGAGAAAAGCCAGAAAAGGAACAGTCTGAAGCCCTCTGGGGAACCAAAAGGCATTCGTGAGGCAGCTCTGCCCCACAGCAAGGAGATAAACAGGCAAACTCTCCTCAGTGGACGCCGGATCCTAAGCGGCCAGGTGGAAAGGCTCTGACGGTCAAGGGTGACTCACCCAATGTGGTTGGTCCGCAGTGAGATCTCCAGCTCTCTCAAGACTTTGGTTGACTCCTGCACTCTCCTCCTGAATTTCTGTGAATGTAGGATTCTCTGTCACTGATGGAGGCCCCCAAGTCAACTTTACAATTCAAGCAAAAGGGGCAGAAAAGGAAAGGGAAGGCACCCAAGAGGGCGGTGACAGTCCTTCCATCTGTTCCTAGCCAGCCACTCCCCCACAACACAACACTCTCCCAGAACACAAAAACCCAACTCCTGCTGCTCAGAACAGTCCTGACCCACGTCACAGGGTTTGCCCCTAAACCCCACAGGACTGCAAACGACAGCAAGATGGGGCTACCCTGCTTCGCACCTCACCTTCCGAGTTACGCTGGGGTCCAAGAAGCTCTGGAGTTTCTGGATGTACGTGTGGGGAGGATTCTTCACCTGGAATCGTTCCTGTGAGGGAAACACGTGTGTGCATGCGGACATTCAGGCTTCTGAGAAGAGTGCTGAGGAAGCAGGGCACCCACAGTGTCTGATGTGAGGGGACTCCTTAAGCTCTCACCTGGCCCTTAACATCCCCCACACTGTAAGTTCCCCTCCGTGACTTATCCTCAGGTACTTCTCTGTTGCCATCTTCTCCTCCTTCGATGAGTAATTTTGAGTTACTGAGTAGACTCAGTAACCTTGAGTCTAAAGTAATTTTCTATGTTAACAATTAAGAGGCTGCTTGCAGCCAGGCCTGTCTGAGCTCAAAAACTCATGATTTGTTATCTTCAAACGTACACAGGGGAAAAAGCAAGGCCACAGGTGCGAGTTCTTGATTCTTAGCTAAGTGAAAATCTCTTGTTTCTCTTCTGGCTCTAAACACTTTCATGCAGAGAGAGCTTCCAGTCCTCACATTCTTAGATTTGGGAACAGAAGACTAGAGGACTGGGCTTCTCATTCCTAGAGGCCTGTAAATAATGGGGAAAAGGCTGCTATTCGCCAGGTCTGGAGCAGAGTGAAAGACAAATGGCGCTTTGGATTCCTCAGCCAGGCACAGCCCTCACCCTGGTTGGAAAGGCAGAAACAGGTTCTGCTGGGGAAACCACCAAACTCCTCCAGAGCAGACCTCACAGCTCAACAAACCTCAGTGGGAAGAAATCAAGACAGTGCTTTGTGGGCGCTAGAGGGGAAGCTGGCCTACCAGCCTGTGTCTGTTAGGAAATTGCTTTTAGAAGAGGAAATAAGCATGGGCTGAGGCCAAGACCAGGCCAGGGTTCCTCAAGGGACCCCAGGGTTGCGGTTAATACCCAAGGCCCTGCTGCCGTGACCAGCCTCACTTTCGGTCCCAAACCCTGTACCTGGTCACAGATGAGGTCCCACTTCTTCTCGTTGTCGTACTGCCGCAGGAGCCGCGCCTTGTCGGGAGGCAGGTTCATGGAGCTCTGAGGAGAGAACCTAAGTCAACAGGGCTGACAGGCTTCCCTCACGCCTGAACCCTCAGGTTTCACCCTGACATTCCATGGCTGAACAGGAAGGCTTAGAGGTGCACGACCATCTTCCTGTTTCCCCTTCATGTTTGGTTCAGTTTGGTCGAGCAGCGTCTTCCAAACTACAGGTTGTGGAATCAGTGTAGTCAGTCAAGAGTAACTTTATTTTGAATGAGAATGAACAGATTAAAATAGAACAAGAATTTAAGATATCAGAATTGATTGCAATTAGGAAGTATAAATAATGTTTCACAAAGTTTTTGCTTCATGAACAAAACATACACACAATGTAAGATGTGTTTCTTAACATGGGACTGGTCAAAAAAGTTTGAAAGTCACCAGTCTAAAGTGACAACATCAATCAATTTTCCCTCACAGCCTGAGAGCTGGGCAGGCTTCCTGTACCACTCACACCCATGGGTGAATCCTGAGCCACCCATACATAGCCTGTGCAGATGCTACAAGTCTAACCCCTTCCTTCACATCCAGGACACCAGGGAATGAGCAGAACATCAACATGAAGATTACTGCTCAAGTTTTTAAGGAAACAGTTTACAAGATTTCAGTACTTTAATCATTAGTGCTGATTACTTATGACACAGTGAAGTGTCCCAACCCCTCACTGAGACACTCTAACTGAGAGTACAGGACAGACCAGGAGTCATTTTATTTTGTTCACTACCATTTGCTGAAGGAATACATAAATACAAGTATAAGTGAATAAAAAGCCAAGGCATCCAGGGCCAAGCCCCACCCAGACCAGCACCCCTCCTTACCCCTCCCTCCCGCTCAGGTCCAGCCAAGCCCCTCCTCTAACCAATCTGGCTGCCTTGGCTGCAGGTCACAGTAAGGCCTTCCTCTCATCTTCCTCTCCCTTACCTACTGCTCCAAGCTCAGCTCTAACTTCCAGGTAAACAAAGCGTGACCACCTGGCTTATCTCTGTTGGGTCCTTGACATCCTTGTCCCTGGGGACAGAGATTGTATGTGCCCAGGATCCTGAGGATCGGATCGGAATAACAGCTCCGAGTTATTCCAAAAACAGCAAGAGTATCCTGGGAGTGGGCTCTCTGTTTTCTAAGAAACTGAAAGAAAATCCTTAAACATAGTTTATTTCTGTTACATGTATCTATTTATTAGGCACTTATTTACATACATGCTATTAAGCCAGTTGTATGCTCATCTAAGGGCTTTCCAAGTGGTGCTAGTGGTAAAGAACCCGCCTGCCAATTCAGGAGACATAAAAGATGTGGGTTTGATCCCTGGATCGGGAAGATCCCCTGGAGGAGAGCAAAGCAATCCACTCCAGTATTCTGGCCTGGAGAATACCATCGACAGAGGAGATTGGTGGGCTACGGTCCATACGGTCACAAAGAGTTGGACACGACTGAAGCGACTTAACACACACACACACACACGCTCATCTAAAGGACTGACTATACCATTATTCATATACCTCCAACCACTAATGACGTCTAACCCTATGACAGGCACCAAGTGGAGGGCAAGCTGATGGTAAACCTATGGTTAAGAGGTCCTGGTTGTGGGGCTTCCCTGGCGGCTCAGTGGTAGAGAATCCGCCTGCCAATGTAGAAGACAGAGGTTAACGATCCCTGATCCGGGAAGACTCCATATGCCATGGAGCAACCAAGCCCGTGCACCACAACTACTGAACCTGTGCTCTAGAGCCTGGGGGCTGAGCTGCAACTACTGAAGACTGTGTGCCCTGTGTTTTGCAACAAGAGAAGACACGACAATGAGAAGCCTGTGCCCTGAAACAAGAGAGTAGCCCCTGCTCGGTGCAACTAGAGAAAAGCCCGAGCAGCAACAAACATCCAGCACAGCCAAAGATTAAAAAAAAAAAAAAAACAGGTTCCGGTTCTGAGCTCTGGGCCAAGCTTCTGGCTGGAAACAGGGTCATTATGGCTTGAAAAAGGAAGTGGAGTTGGGATCTCTGTTCAGTGTTTAGAAATGGAAGAATTTAGAAACCCAGAAGAGAAGAAAAGAAGGGGAAGGGACCACCACGTCACCCTTCTCCCCATGGTTGCTCCCACCCTGTGAATCTGCCTGAGCTTCGGCAGAGAAGAGGGGCTAACCGAATCCGCCCCACTGCCGATGGAGCAGGCCTGGCCGGACAGGCAAATAGAACCCCAGGTGTTCTCTCTGGGACCACTCGGCTAAGGGCCAATCTCAGTGTGTCTGTGTGGCCAGCAGGAGGCCACCACAGAACAGGGACCCGAAAACCAAAGGTGGCCTGGAGCAAGTTCTCCCACCTAAGCAGGGCCAGGCTGCAGCTTGCAGAGTTCGTGAGACTAGGCCTGGTTCTGGCCCTGCGCACGGCCTGAGGTGGCTTCACTGTCCTTGTGCCCCCCTCTCCCATGTCTGTGCCATGAAGGCAGAAAACAGTCATCTCCCCTGGAAGCACGTGACTCGGGAGGGGGAGGGGGAGCTCATCTCGGCTGTGGCAGACATCACATCCCGTCTACATCAACTTCCTCCCTCAGCCACCCGCTGGCAGCTGCTGGGGCCTCACACTTCCCCACCAGGTGAACCGCTGAGAAAATGTCTGGTCCCCTGGGACTTCAAAGACGAAGCAGGGTCACCACCTCTGGGAACCCCAGCCTAAGAGCATGGAAGAGGAACCTCAGGGAACTGGCCAGACTTTAGATGCCCAGGAGAGAGGGATGCCAGCAAATGGAAACCAGGGGCAGGAACATGAAGCAGCTCTGACCACAGGCCCACATCCTCTGGTCTAGAGCTCTGGGTAACACTTCTGAGCAGTGAGGGTAGTTTTCTCTCCTTTGTGACTGAAGTGTGAGGGGGAAGGAAGTGGGTGGGGGAACTCCCCAGCCTCCGGCACTCACAAGAAGTCAGTCATGGACTGTGGGGTGTGGGAGCCACCCATCACGGGCAGGGCCAGGGTTTGGCAGTTCTCTCCCCGCCAGACCATGGCATCGGGGCCCCTGCCTCCAGCAGATACTGTGTGTGAGGCCAGCAGGGCTCAATGTCCTGAGGAAGGGCAGCTTCCTGAGTTCCGGGGACAGCCAGGGAGCAAACCTGCCAACCTTCCTTCCGGTTTCAGTCAGAGGTTGTTTCCTTGACATTTTCCTGCTGTGGCTCCACTGAGACCACAGGCTCTCTTGAGGCAGACACCAGGCTGAGTTCTTGCTAACTCCTCTCGGAGACCCTCGCTGAAGAGAAAGGAGATTCGGCTGTTTTGGGGCAGAGGACACTGGATGTGGAACCAGCGAGCTCCAGATCGACTTCAAGCTGTTCAGAGTCATAGAACCTCAGAGAGCTCATTCACAAAACGGAGATAATCTCACCACTTCACAGGGTTTTATGAGGATTAAATGAAAAATACTTTAGGTCCTAGTGAGTCTGGAACACTGTGGGTGTTCAATACACTTCCCTCGCCGCTCTTCCTAGAAACCCTGAGCGATGCTCTGACATCCCAAGGACCTGCCCTCTTGCTCCTTGGTTATCCTCTATTCCTGCCTCTGTCCCTCCTCCTTCAGCTCTGCTTCTCAACACTCTGGGGACAGAGCAACCCCTTACCCCTGCTTTGATCCTTCGCTGCTAAGACTAGGAGGCAGTAAAACATTACTGTCCTTGGGGATGGAGGGGTAGACTCCAGCGAGATGGGAGAAGAGGAACTCAGACTCAAAGCAACTCTGGGACTGATTCCTAAATCAGAGGGAACCAGCCAGAAGTCTAATAATAAAAACATATAACAGAAAGAAGCAGAAAGGGGTGGATCTGATGCTTCTCCAGCAAGGCGGCTCTGGTTTATGGCCAGTTTGAGACCAGACCGAGCACCTGCTCAGGGGCCAGCCCCTTCCATGGGAGCAAGGGCCCAATCCCCCCAGCAAGGCTTCCTTACTCCCCACACGACCCTGTGGGCCCCAGAGAAGCAGAGGCGGCGGGAGCTGGCTCTGGTCACAGAGGTTCCTTTCCCTTTCCTGCTCTGCACCCCCAGCCGGTTAGCCCCTCCTCGCTTCCTTCCCACTGCAGGGGAAGGGAAATGCCGGTGGGGCTGGAGTTTCCTTCAAAGCTGTGGGTCCTGTGCTGGGACTCACCCCTCCTCTGCCAGTCTCCTTGGGCCAGGCCTGGGGAAAACCCAACAAACAGAGATAGGAACCACCCAAAATTCCCAGCTGCCTCTACTGGTCCCAGTCAGTCATGATAAATTTCAGGATCAGAGGCTAAAACAGCCTGAGGAGAGAGAGACAGAGAGAGAGAGAGATGGCTGAAATGTTCCTGCAAAGGGGATTCTGGAGACTTAAGGGAAGGCAGGCAGGGGCTGTTCATTTTGAGCAAATATAGAATGTGAGTTGGTGGTTTTCTTAATGTTTTCCCTCTCAGAACCACCTCCCCACCGAGGCCCTCATGGCTGGCCACTTCTCCCTGGAGTAGTAGCCGCAGTCGCCATGCTCAGCCCATGGGGAAGCTGAGTCTAGAACCTCCCCAGAGGTGAACTGAGGCACTGTCCCAGGCACCACATGCTACTGAGCCCTGGCCCCTGGTCACAGCTGCCAGCGAGTCCTCTCGGGCATCTGCAGATCAGCCCATTATGCGGATGGCAGAGGAGAAGGCGGTGACGAGGTACGAGGTGGGGGAGTCCAGGAGACTGCTGGAGGAGCAGCCGGAGTACCATATTCCCACCAGGAGCCCCTCACAAACCAACACCTCTGCCCCCAAGTCAATGGAGAAGCAGGCAACACTGGGCACAAAAGCCCACGCCCAGCCACCAGATGGACCCAGGGTGAGGAATGGCCAGGCCTCCCCTCCACATGTCTCTCCTGGTGGGCAGTAGGGGCAGTTGTGGCCAGCTGGGTGCTGCTCCCAAAGGGCAGGAGCCCAAGGAGGTGGGAGGCACCATTCTTGCTACCCCGGCCCCCTCAGCGGCCATAGCCAGCCCTGCCGCAGTAGCAGCTCCCAGACAATGAGAGTTATT